CATTAAGGTTTCATTTCCTAGTTGTCTCCTCTGCTTCACAACCAAGGCAAGTGAATGCTGCTATGAAATTTTCAATGAACATGTATTCATGATCAGCCACCGCTCATCTAAAGGGTCTTCAATGGAGATTTTCCTAGACACACTGGAAGCCAGCACAGCAGAAGGATTGGTGCTTACTGGCTTTAGACACTTTTGAATCAAGAGACCACTCTTTGGGAAAAAAACCCCACAACTTAAAAAGTAAAGAGTTGTTCTGTCCTAAGCAACATGAAATTTCTTCTGTCTTCATTGGTGACTAAGTGACCGGTAATTCAAGGAAGAACAAACTGAACTTATTTCATCCTAAAACAACAAGGAAAGTATTCCTTTCTTCTCCATGGGAAGTAGACAAGCAATTTCCATCCCCTCCATTCACCTGGACAGGCATACCAATATCTGTTTTTCTGCTTATTCCACTGGGCAGCACTGGTTCATGCTCTCTGTTCTGCTCTCCCAAGTGAAATTCAAACTGCTCATCAGCAAAGTAGAAGAATGATTAACATTGAAAAATGGTGATGATGATCCCGAAAAGCACGCAGACCTGTATCAGGAGCTTAATTAGTCCCTGAACTACCTGGAAATTCTGCAATTAATTATGCAGTATATAAATAGTAATCACACCAATGCTGTTTCAAAAAAGAAAGTATTAGGAATCTCTAATGGCAGAGAATGTGCCTAGAAGGCTGCAAGTTATTCAAAATACAGTTACTGCTCTTGATATTGGCATCTCCTGCTTTTGAGAGTCGTACTAGACACCTAGGTACAGCTTCCAAGCTGAACAGAGGCACAGAAAGTTGCCAGGGAACAGGCTGAAGACACCATGCAGACAAATGAATCCCTTTCAAAGATTTTTTGAATACGAAAGAACACTTGCTGTTAAGAAAAAGGCTTGCACATGTTCGAGTCTATCAGGATAGGAGTCCTCTGAGCTAGTAAAATGTGCCCATTAGAAGTTATAAACTAGCACGGTCTCAAGTTACATCAACTGCAAAAGGAAAGCCATTAACCTATCCTAGCTCAGTCATGCTCCAGAAAGTTGCAAATTAAAAGACTTTTACAGTATTCCGGGCAGAATGATTTCGTTTCCCATTTCTGACTTGGTCATAATCCTTATCAAAAAATAACATTGCTACTTCACAATACATAAGCTTTTTGTAAATTCAATGCAGAAAAACCATCATCCTATTTCTGAACTGTAGACAGTAAGAAATTCCTCTGACTTAACATGAATCTCAAAGGCATATCTTTGTCAAGCAAAAGCCACAGAAAAATTCCCTACTTTAAACATCTAAGTATTGTATAAACTACTGAAAGAACAGCTAACAAGTACTGGAAAGTACAGCCAAGTAACAGAAAGCCAGAAGAAGTGCTACAAAGCAGTTGTTTTCCAAGATTCAAAATTCCAACAGAGATCCAAAATTCATGCAACACATTGCCTCTTCACAACTGAGGCAAAGAACTCTGGATGCCAACTTTTGTACCAACAGCTGCATGCCTCAAAACTAGATTCTTTTTGTGCGCAATTTTGATGAAGTTAAGCTCCAGCGTACCTCTTCAGAAAAGCAGGATGTTAAGGAAAAGAATAAACTAGACTAAGTTTGTGGTTTAGATGAAGTTTAACTTAAAATAGCGCTCCAGTTTTACTTCAAACAAACTTCAAAAGTTTCAGACTGTACACTAGCATGTGAATACTCAGTTGCAGACACTAAAATAGCACTATATTGTTCTATTAGCTTCTCACTAATAGAAAATATCGCCTGTGCAGATAAGCTGTTCTTGCTTAGGTAAGATTCAGCAGTAGGGGAGGACAGGTAAAGGGGAGAAGAGGGCGAGAAGAATCTGTGTAATCACAGTTTTGGTTTGGTAGATGACTGAGGATTGCAGAAGTAGCTGGGAAGAGCATGCGATAACTGCTTTCAAAGATGGTACCCCTTCTATGTTAACCTGCCTGCAAGGAAATAGTGGAACACCTGCGGTACATGAACAGAAAGTAGCCTGGTCTAAATGAAAAAGATGGTGAAAAACATTTCAGTGAAGTGCCTAAAAACAAGCACTTGTATAGTAACTATGAAGAATTTGGGCATCGAGCTATAACATGCCCTAACTCAATGCTGATATTTCCCAACATTGAAAATGCTGTCCAGATGTAATTTCATTATTCATCTAAGTTTCAACATTTAAAGCACCATATATACTTTTTTTATTCCGTATTAAGTGGCAGTTACCATCTCTAGACATATAAATCAAACTCACAGGCTGAATGAAAAGTATTCCCTTACATGCCAGGCTCAAAGTGTTTTGAACAGCAGCACGAAGTCCAGCTGGGGGTCAGCAGCTAGCAGTATATCCCAAAAGCTGATACAAGGGTCAATCCTAGTTAGCATCTTTGTTAATGACCTGGACAATGGGAGACAGTGACCCTCAGAAAGGTTGCAGATTATACAAAATTGGAAGAAGTGGCTGATACATAAGATGGTTGTGCTACCATAAAAAGAGGGACCTCATCAGGCTGGAGAAATAGGCTGACAGGAATCTCACGACATTTGCAAAAGGGAAATGCTAAACTCCGCCCTTGGGAAGGAATAATCCTACACACCAGTATACACTGGGCACCAACCAGCTGGAAAGCAGCTTGGCATAAAATGACCAGGGATTCCCGGTGGACAAGTTGAACAAGAGCCAGCAATGTGCCCTTGCATCAAGGAAGGCTAACAGCATCCTGGGCTACCTTAGGAAGATTAAGTCTAGCGGGTCAAGGGAGGTGATCATTCCCCCTCTACTCAGCACTGGTGAGGTCACACATGGAGTGCTGGGCCCAGGTCTGGGCTCCCCAGTAATACAGAGACATGGACATGCAGGAGCAAGTCCAATGAAGGTCCACGAAGATAAATAAAGGGACTGAAACATTATTCATACAGGAAAATGATGACAGAACTCAGACTGTTTAATCTCAAGAAGACAGCGCTCAGAAAGGATCTTATTGATGGGTCTGACTAATCAGAGGGTGTAAAGAAGATTGAGCCAGACTCTTCTCATTGGTGCCCTGTAAAAGGACAAGAAGCAAGGGGCAAAACCTGAAATACAGAAACACCTGGAACAAGTTGCCCAGAGCAGTTGAGGAGTCTCTATCCTTGCAGATACTCAAACCCTGACCAGACAAGGCCTTGAACAACCTGCTGTAACTGACCCTGTTTTTGGCAGAAAGGTTGGACTAGGTGACTTCCAGAGGCCTTCTCCAACCTTAACTATTCTGTGATTCTAAAAAATACTTCAACAATCTCAAAGCAGAAATTGAAGTAAATACACCTTGTCATGCCCAAAGCATCAAAGTAGTACTGGATCAAAAAAGACAAGGTCATGAAAAATGTCCTAGCACTAGATTCCCAAGAACCATGATAGAAGGACTGAGAGAAGAAGGAAAAAAATGTTAAGAACCTGATCAAAACTAGGTTTCAAAGAAACCAGCTCATTATTTTGTTATCATAGGCAACCTACAACCCACAACTTGCAATAAAGCTCATGTGAGGCAGCTGTTTTGACTAATAGTTTAATAATCAAGATTGAGGGACTATTTTCCTACAGACAGAGGCAATAAGGCTATAAGAAAAACTGAGGATTCTTCTTCCCCTTGTACTATAACGGATACATTAGCTAAAATACTTCAGGCTAGTTGTGTAACATACAGTTTCCCTGTATGTTCGCCTCCCAGAACACTTAAGCATACATTTAATATTTTGGTAAAAATTCTTGTACACATGCCCGTAATTGTCTGTTCTCTATCTTTAAAACATGTAACAAAGTTACAAGTGTAGTCAGGTCTCTTCTAATAATTCAAAATCAAGACAACTAAACAAGCCTAGACAGGTCAGTACTATTTCTTCAGATTCAAAGACTAGCTTAAAGATACACCACCTACATGAAGTTTCTATTTTAAGAACAGCCTAAAGATCTGCAAATATCCCACTGGTTAGGCACCAGGAGTCTCAGACACAACTTAAGGAGTCAGACACCTGACACTCTCCGTTCAACTTATTCCTAAATGTCAGTGTGCTGTGGAAGGGCTCTTGTATTCAGAGATGCATCTCAAACAGTGAACCCTTTCCCACCCGTTCTTCTCCCCACAATTCTGGCATGGCAGTTAAGTACTTTTATGATTACATGAAGTTTAGCACATGCTATATGAAGGTTATCTTCAGAGGTTTTTAGACTGACAGCACAGCACAAATGATCTACACCTCCAATTTGATCACTTTCTCATGAAAAAGTCGCTCCATTTAGTTGGCTCATACCTGATTACTGGCGGCCATTATCAAGGTTCTCGTAGGCGCAGATTGGGGTTTACCACTTGGCATAGGCAATGCGGGTGGTAAACTGGCCATAAGCTGAGTCGGTGCTTGCAGACTGAACTGGTAAACATTAGGAGCTGTGCAAGGTGGTGTATCAGAATCCTTTTGGCAGAGAAAAAGGGGAAAAGAAAAGCAACTTTACAGAAAGTACAGTATATACAGGCTATGCATGTGAAAATGCACCCAAATATCAATTCATGTGAATACTGTAAAATTTAATGATTTTTTTTTTCAATGGTAAAAAATGAAATACAAGCCAGCAGTATGTTTATTTTACACATCTAGCAAAAGTTTAATTGAACCTGCATCAAGGAGACAATGTCAACAGGTCTATGGCAATCACAGGTCAGTTCCAGTCAGCACAACCTAAAGCCAAACTTGTATCTCTACCAAATTTGAATTAAAAGATGGGAACTAAGGTTGGGAAAAAAGGGAACAAGAACAGCGACACTGTTAGTGATACATGGGCTAGAATTTTGGGTGTCATGACAGATTCAGTCCTCTGAACAGTGTTCTGAATTGTACTTATCTGTACAGCAAAGTTACTCACTGTAATTGTTATAGTCTTCTCCCATTCTACCCAGCAACAGCAAAGTTAGGGCTCCACCTACCAAGAAACAAGGAGATGATCTGCCAGTCAAGACTAGTATATGAGCACCAGTCACCCACTTCACTGCTAGTTAGTTCTGTTTCCCTTGCTTTCCATCAGAAATCTGAGTGATAATTCTTCAGAGGAAGCAAGATAGATGTAGGATTACAGAAAAAAAATACTCTGATGGAACTAACCAACAGGAATTACAGATGCATAAGCAGAGTCATACGGGTGATGTTAAAACACTGTGTGCCTGAAGCACTTAACAGACAACAAGCAAGGAGACAAGCACAGATGCAGGGGTTTACAGGAATCACTGAAGTCTGAAAACACCCAGACTGCCTCAATTCTTAAATGACCAATTATTGTCTAAGTTGAGAAAGTTGAAAAGTAAGCTGCAGCCTTTTCAAACAACTCTGAACACAGATCTTGTAAAACTTATTTTTCAGCCATAACAGAATGGCAACAGATAAGTAGTTTTCCCTACCTGCTTTTTACCCTCGCCCTTAACTCCTAAGTATTCTCAATTTGAAAATAATGGAAAAACTTATTCTTTATCCGAAACCCCTACTGTTCTTTCCATTCCCAGCCATCTGGCTCAAAGTAGAGCAAGAGATGGGGCTCAGACAATTAGTAGTTTAGGAGTTACCATATTAAAAGAACTTATTGGCTCAGTTCATCAAGGATCTTTACTGCTCAAGTAATTAATGAAATATTCTATTGCTCTTTCGCTAAAGATTAATTGCCTGGAAGCAAAGACTCTTCATTTAAGCCTAGCAAACTTTAAATAGACCTCCAGCACTATATAGCCTTGGTTTCCAAACTAGATTCTTTGGTTGGAGAATAGGCTGTCTAGAAAAATATTTTCAAGAACAGAAACAAGAAAATATTTTAAAGCTTTCCCTGGGGAAAGGAGAAGGTCATTTAAGAGACTAACAGTTGCGAATACTGAGCAGCCTAAGCAATGAACTACTAGAGAGCAAAACTTGCATCCCAGCTGAAGTGAATACCCACAATAGAAACAGTCCTCAATAAAACTGTCAGCTACTAGAACAATCACTCCTTTATTGGTCCATATAAAGTTGCGCTTACTGAAAAATAAGTTCTAGAAAGGAGCTGCTCTCCTACCAGGTCAACTAGTGGTAAAAGTTACAGTATACCTTTGTGAAGCAGTTTCACATATTTGCATCATGAATTCGCTAAAGACAGATCATACTGGTAACAAGAACCTGTGCAGAAACTTAAGTCTTATTCATGAAACCAGATGTATACCATTTAATAAATATGTTCACAGTGGGCAACTACATGCTGTAGCACTGATCAAAAAATTAAGCTTAGTTGTACGCACATGCAAAGCTGGCTGCCTGGATGAAATGGCATTTTTCTCCTTTGCCCAATCCTACAATATTAGCCACGAGAACAGGCCAAGGTCTCTACAAAGATGAAGCTGATACATTCTTAACTAAGTAGGTGGTAGAGTCAGGTACAGGGGTAATAATTTGGATCTCCAAGCTGAAGTTCCTTTAGCCACTATTGGTCATGGAATTATTAAAAAGCTTACAAAAAGAGGGAAAAATAAAGAGGGGATAGTCATGTTTGAACAGACAGCTTCTGAGCACGCTCACAAGTAATCGTGAGCAGGCAGTCGGGAGGGAAAGGGGATCTTACTGTCTATCCAAACCCAATGTGTTATCTTCTGCAATGCAACCTTCACAAACCTGACCAAAGAATAGTTTTAGTCCCTCCAAAGACTCTCCTCTTTCTCTTCTGCTTAGATACAAATTAGACTCCCCGAAGACTCACATACCTAAGCCAGATGGGACGCTTCCCATTTTTAAGATTTCTGAGGGGTTTTCTGCAACAAAAAGTTAACTCCAGTATGGAAGCAGAAGATGGAAGAGGAAAGGGAGTCATATAGTTTAATTGAGACTAGATAAATGTCAGTACAAGGAACCTTGTGTTGCTTTATTTTAATTTTGTAATAGGCATGTTCTTCTGCCTCCATGTTATTTACTGATACATGCCTCATACAAGTAGGTTGTATCCCTCTTCTAAGGCGATCCTGGATTGCTAGCAAGATTATACTATAGAGTTGATACACTGACTTCTCATCAGCATCAAAATCCTTTTGTGAAGGACAGCATTACTTTTCATCCTCAAACTGAAAGCTTAACCTCAGTGATCAGAAAATTGAACCTAACGTGAACAAAACTGATTTTCCACAAGCACTGCCTACAGGGAGGGATTAAATCTTACTTGGTCTTCTGGACAGGATTCTTAAGTGTAATGTGCAAACTTGAATCATTACAGAAGCTCAGAAGACCTACAAGTAAATGCATACAAGTAACACCCTGACACTTTAGGTCCATGTCTGGAATACAAAAGCTCTGAACTTAAGTAAGGTAAAGGCTACAGAGGTCACATTGTAAAAAGATGAATGTAAAATAAGGAGGTAAGATCCCTCAACTGATTATAGTAAATCTAGGCATAAAGCTATAATGACTGCACTAAGAGCCAAGATAAGTTCCTGATCTCCTGAATACTACTACTACTATGAATGCCAATCATACAGAGTCTCTCATCCTGCAAGGAAAGTATCTTCTAAAGAGATGCTTTTGGAAACAGAGACTGCCAGATACAGGTTTATCCTACTGGGAAGTTTCCATTTTAAAACATACTCTTTAAACCAGTTTCAACTTCCTAAGAACTTAGTACCTGGAAGGAAGATTTCTACTACTCATAGCCTTGATTACTTAGGACTCTTGAATTTACCTTAACATTGGAAAGAAGATAAAGTATGGAAGAGACCTAGAATCTCATCTAATTGCAAATTTTGCTTGAGAAATGGGATCCCCTAGCCTTCTGTCTAGACAAACAGTGAAACACTGCAGTCATATGAAAGATGAAGAGCTGAAATAATCTTACAATCCAAGCTTCTCTTCCTGACATCGGAGGAGAACAAAAAATCCTCTATTGTTCTGCAAAATGCATCTCCTATTAGAAGAAGTCCCAGGACCTCATCAGCAAGAGAATATTTAGTCACCAGAAGCTTCTTACTAACAAGGTCTGACCTTAAGAGCTTATTTGAATGCCATTAATAACTCAAGGCTTGAGATACAAGGTAAAGTGTGCTGGTACATTCATTCATCAAGACAATGGTTCAGCTTCCATTAATTTCAAGGGTACTCAATTGTACTCCTAAGTTTCCTTTCCGTGATTCTAAATGCATTAAAAAAGTGGTGCCTTCTGCTTTGTTTCATGATGCAGTCAGTTGAGAAGTTTCAATTGACTGACAATAGCTACCAATTTGGAGCTTTCAATTTCCAAGACAGTATTTTTTTTTAAAAGCTGGAATGGCCTAAGAAGATTAATTCACAATCTCAGTCTGTTAAGTTTTGGCCCAGTGGCAAGGCAGTCTAACTATCCTAGAAGTCAGTATTCAGAAATCAAAATTTAAACAACAGAATGCAAATCTCTTGCTAATGTGACAGATTTGGGTTCTTACACCCCACCTCCCACAAATGAACTACAGAGGTCTTGGCAAAAAGGTTCTTATTGTTCTGAATCTCCAAACTTCTCCCACTAATTAAACATTTTTTTTTCCTCTTTCCAACAACATTCAGGAGCTGGAAGCTGTGAGACAACGATGACCACTTCAGTAAAAAATGTATTCCATCTTTGAAAGCAAAGAACTGAAAGTAGTGAGAAGATTGGTGTTTATAGTTAACCCTTTACACTATACAGATCTTTCCATGTGTTCCTCGCCTTTCTTACAATTAAAGTGATTAAACAGATAGCTGCTGCCAGTCATACTCCTTTTGCCTCTTTTCCCATTCTGGCCTTCTACATTATACCTGCATTAGCATTTAACATTATTATGAGCCAATTCACAGAGGTGAACCACACAAACAGTAATCTCCTTTTTACTAGCTTCACCTTCTGAATCAGCTCACCACAGGATTAGGTGAACACCAGTGCAGAAAAGCAGGAGCAGCTAGTGAACAGAAGCATCCCTAGCAAGAATATCTAACTACTGGATTGGCTTAGTAAATGTGTAAAAAAAATGACACTCCTTGGACCATAAAGCAACACCAGAAAACTTCCAAGACATTTCATAGCTTGGGGCCACATGCAGGAGCAGAACTTCAACGCATACTCTTGCTTGAATGGTTTTAGCCTCAGTGTACTTAACTCTGCTTGATAAAGCAACGTGCTTCCAAGGGGGGTATAATCCATGAAATCACCATCTAATTCCTTCCACATCAGCTTGTGCCATTTCCCTTTTTGGTAGGTGGAGCCGTAACTTTAACTATGGTGTAAATAAATTAGAATTGAGATTAACAAAACTTCTACTGCTATGGGAAGCCACAGGGTAGAGAATTTGCATCAATACAGTTGCACCATTTCCATTTGCCAGCCTGTAAACAATACAAAACAGTCTTGAGTAAGATGTAATCAGTTGGTTTTTCTGCTTTTAGGTCAATTGCATTACAAAAGGAAAATATCTTGGTCATTGTGCTTAGAAGAGGGGAAAAGAGAAAGAAGATATATAGGATACACAAGCAAACTGAAAAATATGCATCCTCCGAAAGCATTAGTATTTGTTTTACGGAAAAGACAACTAAAAGTGTCATCTAATTAGAATCTACCAAGATTAAATGCAAGCACAGTCCCCCTTTAACCTCACCTCATTATATCCTGCTGGGCCTGAGTGTGGGCTTATTCCATGTTTTATGAATAGACGCTGTATTTCAGATAAGTCATCTTAAATAAAAAAAGGTCCCAGTAGCGTGTCATTTCAAATTTCCTTTGCTACCCCTAATACTTTCCTTTCACAGGCTTTCAATTGGTCTGTATTGTTAAGAGTACAGTTATATTTTAAGTTAGCGTTTTTCAAGTTAAGTACTAAATTATAGGACTCATTATGCAAGCTGAACACACATACTGTTATATAAATATTGAAGATAGGTTTTCTTCCATCCTAAAATGGCTTAGGTATCTTTTTTTTTTTCAAGGGAGGGAATGTTAAAGTATGGCAAGAATAAGACTAGTCTTTGGCATCAGAAAGTAGTCCGAGTTTGACTTTTACAACATTGTGTGCTTCTCTCCTTACTTCACTGACATCACAGCAGTAAAATCCAATTTTACTTGCTGATTTACACGCTCCTTGTGTACCCTTTGCTGCTTAGAGTAACGTGTTTTTACTTGTTTTTAAATAAAATTATAATTTTGTATTCAAAATTGTGCCTCCAGCAGCTTTGCAGAAATTTACTCTTATTTCAGGTGGATATAGATAAAAGACTGCTCAAGCAACTGAGACAGAAGAACTGAAAGACAGCATGAGACACTACAAAACAGCACATAGTGAGAGATATGGGTTAAACAAAACAAATGTGGGACTATATGGTGAAAGAGAAAAATAGGCAAAATCAGCACTGGAAAAATTCGTTCCCCTCTGGTCTACAGACACTGTCAGTAAACTGCACAGCAAGAATAGGAGAAAAGAGTTTTAAGGGATTTGGGACTTAAACTCGTAAATGCCCCAAATCAAATGTCAGTCAAATGCTTTTCCCTGGTAACATCGGGTTGTCTGTGTCTGTATGCTCAGGGCTGCCCACTGCTTTATTTGGAGACAAGCTGGCTGCACTTACTTCTTTCTTTAAAGACAAAAGATTAAGAGGCCTACTTTTTAGAGCACTTGCCTCTACTTGTTCAGGAAGGGGAAATTACTAAGATAGAATCTGCATTATTCTACAAAAAGATGATCAGCTATCCAGACACATATTTGAACTGTTATTTTGCTTAGGACATGAGAATATTCATGCATGTACAAAGCAGGGAGAAAATCTGTGCAGCTCTTTGCTCTCAGACTGAAAGGGAGCCACCCCCTCCTGCCCCCTCTCCCTGCACAGGCAATTTCAACTGGAACCCTACAAATTAATCATAGTAATTGAGAAAGATTTAGCAAGACTACAAGAGCTGTTACAGCAACTACTCTGAAGTGTCTGTCCCTCTACTGCAGATAAGTACGTGCCTTACACCTGCAAATTTAATCGCTTTTAAAAAAGCAACATTTATTAGGACAAGATGTGTCATATACTCTATCACCTCTATCTGTGAATGGGGAATTACAACAGTTCCTGCTAATAAGCTGAAATTCAGTCTTTGACTAATAGGAAGGGGAGATGGTGATAACGTCATTAAGCATGAGTTCAAGCACTAAGCCACAGTTACTTCAGAGCAAGTAACAGTTCCAAAGTCAGTATGGATCTTGTGTGCATTCAGCAGAATGATAGGAATAATGAGTATTAGTCTTATCAGTCATATTTATATACTACTCTCACAATATAAGCATCTGATCAAAGCACTGAATACTTAATATTTGAAGACAGTGAAAAAGACACGTTCCAAGAAACACTTAAGGTACTGCTCAGCGTATCCCCTAGCTGATGGGGCAGACCAGGGGCAGATCAAGTATTGACATTCTGATGAAAGGCTGTTATAAAGCCTGAACAGCAATGGCTACAGCTAAAATTTCAAGAACAGTCTGAAAGAACACATTGTAAATGCTAAAAAGTTAAGAGGCAAGGATTGTGTTCTCCCCCAACTAGACTACACAGGTACCTTGTTCACTGAAGCTTCAACTACTTTGACATGACTGCATGGTCTTGAGAAGTCAGAACTCTTCACAAAATAATCTTGTCACAGAAGCACAAACAACATTATCACCAGAAACACTGAGATAAGGTGTATGAAATTTCTGAGATCCAAAATTCTAACAGACAACTTTGAGATTCTGTGCTGGACTGGATATGAGATTATATATCCATTAGGTAACAGAAAAGAGCTTTAAAACTTTCCTATGAGCCACTACATCTGTTACTGATATGCAGGTACCACTGTCACATAAAATACTATGCTTTATTTGGCGTAACAGGATCAAAACTGCAGAGCATACTTAGCACCAGAAATTATACCAGACCAAAATGAGACTGCAAAAGCATATCTAGGATTATTTTTTACTCAGCAGAAACTGTTGATCAGGCAGCAGATATTCTCCGGCACTACTCTAGGACTTCCTGAGCTAATAAAAAGCTAGTTTTCCACAATGCTTAAGCAACAAGAAATCCAGGTCACCAGTTACAGAGTGCAGGTCCAGAACAAAAAAGCACACAGGAGGAAAAATAAAAAGGCATTTTCAAGACGACTTTGGTCACTGCTTAGATTCTCAGACTGACATCTATAACTAGCCAGAACAAGCAGAGAGCAGGAAGCGAACATAGCTCATATCATCTGGTTTCAGATTCTCATAACAAGTACTTAACTCAGTATGATGGTTAAAGTGAGATTTCCTAATGCCAGAGGCTTATTTTCTATTGTGGAACAGTTTGACTATTGCTCCCATAGAGTAAAAACTCACACAATTTGCACTGTCCTTGATGGCAAAGATATTTATAAAGCATCTTCCATTATTCACTTCAACATTTGTTGGATCATGTGGGAATGGGTAGTATTTTGCAACTTACCTGTTTGCATGAGTAAGCGAAGAACACATACTGCCTCTTTGTCAGGGCAGCATATGGTATTTTAAATACCTGTACAGAAGAATACTTAGTTGAGAAAAGACTTACTACATAGCTCAATTTGATAATTAACAGAATCCAGAAAAACGTATGTGTAGTCGAATATGTTCTGATGATCAGATTCCTTGTGTCCATAGGTTTATTTCCATGTGTTCCTCAGTTTGCCCCTGATCACTACTATTTATATTCTTCACAGAGCTGAGGTAACAGGGCAGGAACTTTAGTACTATAGTATTTTGCAAGGAAGTACATTAGAAGAGCCAGTGAGAGAGTCAGAGCTCTATTGACATGTACAGTACGACAAACCCATAAACTGAACAACTCTCTCACTAACAGTGGTATTGGAAGACAGATTTCTTTTCTACCCAGTCTTTGATCCAAAATGTACTGATCCTTCCGAAGGCTTTCTTCTGTGACTAAGATGTTGCAGTTTGCTAGGACACTTACAAAAGACAGCACAACTAGAATTTCATCAACCAGACAGTGCTAGCATAAGGCGTTTTGTAAATAGCTTTGCTGCCTTGGAAAATCCATAAAAGGGTATTTTTTGTACAAATTATGATTTAGTCTCATTAGGTCCAGTTCTTAGTTTTGGGCTATGCAGAGAGCGGCCCAGAAACGTGTTCCCCTGCAAGCTAGTCCTAGATCTGCAGAGACGAAAGCAATCATCCTGAATTTGAGGCAGTGTACTGAGGAAAAGCATATACATCTAAAATATACGAGGAAAGAGAAGGCTATCCTTGAAGGAGGCAGTTCTCTTGTTCCTCAGTGGCACACAAGCTCTCATCTTCAAAAGGTTACCATCAGTGTGGTCCCCAAAGGAAGGAAAGCAGTAGCGGGAATGGAAAGAACTCAAGGTAGTAACTTCAAGCTCTTATATCCCTACACTTCTGTTCTTCTGAGTATGTACAAAAGTTGAGGCTGACTTCTAAATGTTAGCTCTGGTTCATGCCAATCCAGTCTCCAGGAAAACCTGCTCCTTTTTATTGTTCTGTTCTGGCACCTGCTCTCCTGCTGCTACAACAAATCTATAATCATCGCTACCTCTGAAGTATCTGTAAGTCCAAGACACCAGGAGCCTTGTCTATTCAGCTGCTGAGCCATATTTATGGAAGATAAGGCAAAATCTGTAATGCTGCCAGAACTTCAAGGAAGCCAATCTTGAAAAACCATATAGCATGCTGTATTACAACAGAGTTAACTACAGTTACAACCAACTATTAAACTACAGGGCTTAATAAAAATTCTGGAATCCCTATGAGCAATACTGCACTGCTTTGATAATGCTTGCATACTTAATATATACTGTGAATATTGCTTCCAGGACATATTGACGAATATATGCAAGGCCTCCAGACTTACGGCCGGTGTACAGTGATGTGATGACTTCAGAGTATAGCTACCTCTGTGCTATAGTGGACAGCTGGAATATTTGACCTTCAGTAGAAGCTGAAGTTCAGAGAGGGGCAATATGCCCAAGGAAAGTCACAAGCTGCCAAGCCTATTTCGTCTTCCTCAAGATACCTAAGTTGACTTGTGTTACATTGCTAAGCACATCTCAAAGGTCAAGGTGCAGCTGATCACTATTACCAGTGAAATTTCAGCAGTAAATTGAAAAGCAAATACACTACCAAGTCACCCTAATTTAACAGCTAGGATCTTGTTGATACACAGCAAAAGATACTCTGCAGTCATGCAAAATACATCTCCAGAAACAGCATCTTGATGCAGACCTTGTGCTTAAGGTTAACAGTCACATCGCAGGGATGAATATTTTGCTATTAAAATAAAACCTTAATTATTTGGAAGAGATTGGCAAACTGTAAATCTAGGATCTCCATGTATTTGGTCTTAAGTATCAGAGAAGTTCAGAAGATTTAACGTTAAATGAATACAGAATCATTCCTGAAGAACAATCCTTCCACAAGACCAGAACTAACGCTACATATAACTCTACAGAGATGAAATGCACTGTATTCATACTCCCTTGTTCTGAAGCTGGTACCAAAGTTCACTGCATCATACCTATTTGCAGCTCACCTCACCAGAATTTTTGGCACAAATACCAGCTGTCACACATTCTAGGTGTTCCTTTGCTGGAACCTGGGCATAGTATTATGCCAGATGATGCCACGGATACCCTCTTCAACTCCGGCAGAATAGGCTTCTCTTCCTGAACCAGGTGCAGCTCAGGACTGCTCAACCAGAACTTGCTCATCCTCACATATCCAAGCATGAGTAGGATGAACTCATCGGTTACTTGTCAGAAACCTGCCATTCCATTCCAAAGTAAGATAATAAGCTGGCAGTCTACTAGAGACATAATACCAGTAAATGACCAGGGCTTAAACTAGGGTCTGTCACAAGCACATGGGTATAAGGCTTTTTATTTTGTTAAGAAAGGTAGCATTTCCATTTACTTTGTGGATGCCCAAACTGATTGCAGGTCTTTCTTGTTGAGAGTTTCTTTCTCACTTTTCATTAATTTCTCTGGTATCAGGCAATCAAGTTTCATCTTCAATGTCAGACAAAAGGGGATTAAGGGGAGGTCATAACCACTCACCACCCATTACGTTGAGAGTGTACAATATTAAGCAAATATTACTGTAATAAATTTTACGAGAAAATGCAGATATCTTCCTCACTGACATACTCAAACCAGGAGCATGGCTAGCAGTATCACTGGCAAGCATTATGCTGTTCTTCTTCCTTTAGCCAGATGGTGCAACTAAAGCATTTACCATATTTACTGGCAGCGGAGTGAAAAGACAATTCAACACAGAAAATTCAGTAGTGTAAAGGAATTACAGGAAGTAACCAGAGCATATGAAGAATGCATTTGTCCCTCAAAAGTTACTAAATTTTTACTGAATACAATTCCCAACTTTTAATTCCATAGTTGACTAGTTTTGAAAGAAGTGAAGAAACAGGTAGTTGGACCTCTCTTGGCATCATCCGGTTATTCACTATTGTACTTAACTGGATTATACATCTTGTTACAGTCAATACTTCTACCTAGCACAGAATGCTTCAGTAGATTTATAACGAGCACCTCATGCCATGCAATGCAATTTTGTGCTTTATAATCCACACTGCTCAACTCCGTGTTGATTTAACTCCATACCGAAACAAAAACACCTTATAGAATCTTAAGGGCCTGAGAACATACCTAAAGAGAATACAGCCTCCTCTTCCAGGAAGTTACAATAAAGCCCAGCAATTACTTTCATATTGCACTTTCAAACAAGGAAGCTGACAGCAAGACTTTACATATGAGGTCCCCATTACCATTAAAACATGAACTGACTGCTTGGCTGAAAATAGTAAGGAATATTATTCACCTTCACAGCACAATATGATGTTAGTGTTCAATTTGGGGTGTGGGGAAAAAGGACCAGAATTTGACAATGAGACATTTTGCTTGGTGGGAAGATTTATGAAGACATATTTCTACTCTTCTACTTAATTAGCTAGTGTTAACTTGTGGTTTTATATTTTATTACATCTAACTACTACCACAAAGAGTGCTGAAGATTTCGGATGGAATTAAGACCCATCTAATTTCATGAAAAAATATTTTATTTCAGTAATTTTTCTGAGCAGGCGAAGCTATTAATTTGCTGTAGCAGCTTAGGGATAGTATCACATTAACTGCTGTTGTATCAGTTGAGGCTTTGAAGAGTATTATAAACATTGTTGCTTATTAGTTTAACCCATTAAAAGAAAAAGCTTACAATGTCACTGCCGGAGAGTGATGATACAGATGAGGCGGATGAGCCAGAGGATAACTGTTGTGTACTAGCCAATGACAAAGCCAACCGTTGGTTGTAAGATGGTTCAGAGTCTTTGTTCTGTTGCTGTTCTCCATTGCACGGAGCTATCTGGTCTCTTATTTTCAACCTGTTATCTGTTAAGAGAAAACATATATATCATTTAAGAGCACAGAATACAAACGCATGGGCCTTGAAGTCTAAGAGATAGAGTTTAACAAGCGAATTGAAAAACAGCCTCAGAGAAAACTAGTCTTGGGTTAGAAAGTTACAAATCCCTTCTATTTTTTCCTACATAGCTGAAAGTGATTAATTTCAAGGCACAAGTATTTTGAATTACATCAGATTTGAGAAAAAATATTTAAGTTAGTTTCAAAGATGCCTGCTATACCTACCAAGTTCAGGTGATAAATTAATTTTGCTCCCCCACTTCTTTTTAATCCAGGCCCTGTAGTCAATCACTTCTTGGGTCACTTTGATGATTCTACCTAATGTGCTAAAAAGATTTTTCAATTAAGTATTAAACAAAGACTACTGGTTAGACATTTGCAAGCATTTCAACAAGCAATCAAATCATGCTGAAAGTCAGTTTAAGACACCCCTAACCAAAGAATCCTTTTGAACTTTCATTTCCTCAGCACACTATTTAATCCACTATAGTATCACAATTTTTATAGTAGTATACTACTTATCTTCTACCATACTATCTTACACTACTTATCTTCTACCAGTGCAAGCACTGACACATACATAAAAGATTCTTACTGTGTACTTCTAAATGGAGTGCATCTTAATTATCAAGAATGTACATACAGATATCAGCGTACTTGATAAAAACAATTTGCAGCTTCTTGCATTTCTCCATACAGAAAACATTTTTTCCACAGAATCTGGATTACAAGTTATGGGATGCACTGAAGACATGAATACCCCAGCCCCACAGCTGACCTTCATGCTGAAGAGAGAGACCTTCACTAGTCCTTGCTTGCAGATTTACAATACAACTTAAAAGGTGTAAGATCCCCACAATTATAAAGGAAGTACCATGGATCGTGAGGTAGTGGAAACAAGAAAGAGACTGGCTCCAAAACCAGAGTAAGTTAGAATTTAAGAA